TTATACTTTTTGCCCGTAGGGATGTCGTGAAATAGAAATCTCAATAGTTGAATTACTGTATCACGTTCACGATATGGAGGCGTTGTCAGGAACATGATATTTAAATATCGCATATATTTACACGCGTATTGAATGAACACATGACGTAATCCCATGATATAGATCGAGATATAGTAGTTGCAAAATACGACCCTCTACTCCCTTGCAAAGATGCACCAACATCGACAGAACACTAATAGTGCAATGGACAACACATGTCCGCCAGTGCTCTAAAGGGAGTTTACGAAGAGACTAAACGTATCACGTTTCATCCGAAAGGTTTCAATGAAGACGACTTCTTTACCGTGCAAGACCTCGTTTACCCAACTTGGACCAAGTGTCGAAACGCGCTTCGGGAACGTCATGACATGCGCGCACATGATAGCGGACGTACGTTCGTGCAACGCTATTTCTTCACGGTCGCGGTAGTACCCAGCAGCAATATAAGTTTATGTCAGATCGCAGAAGTGCTCTCAAAATATCTTCGTATTCGATAAAATTTACAAATCCGAATTTTTTTGTCTCGATGAATTTTAGGCGCAAAAAAACCAACAGTCCGCGAAGGCATCGAGGGGACTTTCATTCATATCTCTATAACCATATAAGGGTTTCCTCTGAAATTTTGTATGTGGACAGAGCTCAGTGGCATCTAAAAGTTGTTTAATGAATTCAGAAGTTGAAAATGCATAACCTTTGAGATATTTTGCGGAAAGTAGCGCAATTTATCCAAATTTCGCAGCAAAAACCAATAACCACTCAACATTAATAAAAATGGTTTCGAGGGGTAATATTTTATTTAATTCGACCTGTGAAAGCCTTACCACTTTAGAATAATACTGTGGTGCCAGTGTCGTCCATTCACGAAGTTCGGCATGGCCACCATCAGCGACGACGAATATGATGACACTACCTGCCACCTACTATGATTTTGAACTGTGTTCATCATTGTGAGAAGCTTGTGAGAAAACCTGTATGATTTGCTCGTTACCATGGATGAAGTGGACAATGTTGATTTCTCCTCGTCGGAGTCGTCTTCTGGACAAAGTGACAGTGATACGGAATAACTTTCAAATGTAATATTTGCATTGTAAAATAATATCCAGTTTTCCTACCAATTTTATTTCAAACTCTACCTTTGAAATACAATAATGTCAACTAACCCTAATCTCGGTCCTCTCGATGCCTTCGCGGACTGTAAACCAATCAGCTATTACGCATTGTTTAAAGGATGGCTGCTATCAAGCCTACCTGTTGTATTTTACTTCCAATGCCCATTCTATGCCTCAAGGTGCTTCTAGCGGGAATTTCCATTTTGAGGCAAAACGTCAATTCTTGCTTTCGTATCAATTCGCCCGTGATGCAGACGCTAAGTTCTTTACATCAAAGAATTCAGTTGATGAACTCTTCTTCCTCTCTGGCAACGCGACTGGCTGGCCTTTGGTTTGTACGCGCTTGTTGACCCATATGCTTTGCACTGGCAGTTATTCAGCGTCATCCTCAGGTTAATCATTATCTTCGCTTTGATTTGCAATACTTGGTAGGAGTGAAAACTCAACAATTTTAATTCCTTCGAGACTGTACAATTTACGAAACCTATCAAGTGACTTCCTCCAACCAAAGGCACTTCAACACGCACATCCCTACACTGTGTACCATTGCTTGTGCGGCTACTTTCATCTCCGGTACTCGCGAATGGTCTTTGCGCACGCCTACAGCAAGTCGGAGCACACAATTACGAATTGGATACAAATGTACGTGCGGGGCAGAGTATGTTTTCGTCGTGTTAGCGCAAAGGCGGTCAAGTAGACACCCACGTGTATCGCAAGCAGATGTTAGACTATTATAAAGAAACCTCCTGGACTATCTCCATGATGAGTGCGTGTATGGTGAGTACCGTGGATGGTCGCGGTAGGTCGTCCCTGTGACGAAGTGACGGCTGCCGCGTTGCCTTCCCCAATTGCCATTATCGTCAATGTTACAACAAATTGAAAAACCTCTCACAGAGAATGGAAATATACAAGGTGAATGAAAATGATTCGCCCCTCGAAGTGGCGGGATCGGTTCAACCAACTGTAAGGATAACGGTTACAGCCGTTGCGTAGTCCAGGTAGACACGATGTCATACGGTATGGCACTGAAGGGTTTAGTATGAGTCGTTGTATGTCCAGTGAAAAGTGCATTTTTCATACTTTGGACTGATAGGAAAATGACGTCGATTTCGTTTTCATGACTATACATCAATACAATTGCGCGGGTAGAGGATAGTTTGGGACGTTCATATAGGCATTCTCAGCTAATATCGTTAAATACAATTGATTGTCTCAGCTCACGATTTGAGGATTTAGCCTTAAATTCGGGGCTTGTTTCGACCTGACGACCGTCGGCGTAGAAATTTCGGGTTAGAAGTCACCGAAAAATCATTCTCGA